TGGCATTATAGGCTAGGCTTATGTGGGCTGGGATTTGCAACAAGGTCTTGGACTAGGCCTCTATACTATAGTAGGAGGCCTGGTCCTAGTCTAGGCCTATAATATAGTAAAATTCTGTATAAGTAGTCATTATGATTACAAATTTATTTTGTACCAAGGTCAATATTTACGATCGCATTTATTTTTCATTGAAAATTTAAAAAAAAAATACTTAAGGATTTTAAAATATTCAACAAAAATTAAGTTAACTCAAAACACAAACAACGCGATATGATATGAAGTTTGCCAGAATAACATGGTATACTTGCACTGTATTTTCTGAAGCGCAGTTCGTTTTTGGGATTGCTACAATCAACAGTTGTTACATCAGTGGCGCCACGCTCGGGCGCTGACGGAGGTGGGGGGGGGCTTAATCCCTTACCGGACAGGTCAAGGCCCCCCCCCCCCCCGCCGGACAGAGCTCGTCGGGCAGTCAGGCCATTAAATATATAAAAATAGGCCCACACCAAGCCAACACATGTCTGTCACAGTCTGAGAGTGCCATTTTCGGTTGATATTCATTAAACAAATCTCATTTGGGAGGGGAACCCCCTCTTAACCCCTTCCTCCAGCTCGAACCTACGAGATCAAGTCCCCCAGTCGGACAACTTAGTCCCCCAGAAAATATATCCCCCCCCCAGAAAATATATCCTAGAGCCGCCACTGGTAGCAACCCCAAAAAGAAGTTACAGTACAGGCGTATACAAATCTCTCAAACTTTATATCCTATCGTGTTGTTTGTGTTTTAAGTTAACATTATTTATTTTTTATTATTTTTAAGCGTACAGGTTTGGAATATTTTAAAATCCTTAAGTTAAATTATTTAAAGTTTTCTTTTTATTTTCAATGAAAAATAAATGCGATCGTTAATATCGACCTTGGTACAATGTAAGCCCGTAATCATATGACTACTTATACAGAATTTTACTATATTATAGGCCTAGACTAGGACCAGGCCTCCTACTATAGTATAGAGGCCTAGTCCAAGACCTTGTTGCAAATTCCAATTCACATAAGCCTAGCCTATAATGCCTTGGTCGCGGTACCCTGACCAGCAGATGCACTGGGAAGCGTTGTTCACGGCATTGGACTGCAGCGAAAAATGATTCCCCCATCATTAATGGAACAGGCCCACGTCATGCTTGGCTGATTAGTTTTGATTTACATTTCGCAAGTCTAGTGCCATACGCAGCAAAAGTCCATTTCAAACCAGGCTGGTTTTTGATTTACGTTTTGGAATAGAATTTGGAGAGGGCGTTTGATCAAGTCATACCTACGTTTTGAATTTGATTTACATTTTAAAGAAATTAGAACTACATTTTGGAAAATTTGAACTACGTTTTGAAAAATTAGAACTTCATTTTGGGAAACTAGATCTACATTTTGAGAAATTTACACCTACGTTTTAATAAATTAGACATTTTATTTAAAAAATTTTAAAATATTGAAATTTTAAAAATACACCAATTTAAAAATCAAAATACATAGCCTCATCACGCCTTCTGCCTGGCTTTGTTGTGAGTGATTGTGAATGCACTGGTTATTGTAAATACTTGATAAGTAATTGTACTTATTCTTCAGTTTTCAATCAGATGATGGAATTTATATTTTCCCAGATATTCACAAAAGATCTATTTAATTAATTGTTTTGCAGGAATGGATATTCTGTGAATAGTCCAGCCAGATGATCCCCACTGACTTCCGTCAATTAAAGCCTGGTTTCCTGTCGACGTAAAGGTCAGAATTTCTTACGTTTCATACGTTTCTTACGATTCTTACGACTCTTACGCAAAGTTGAAATAAGGCCAAGTAAAAAAAAAAACATGTTTCACGTCCAGCTTTTTTTTTAAATTGAGGAAGAGGCCTTTTTTATTTTTTATTTTTTATTTTTCAAAATGGCCGCCATTCTACAGACTTGTTGACATTTCCCGTCTAGTTTTGTTCAACATATAAAAAGACATCACACAAGATTAGAAGCTGTATACTGTTTATTTGGCAAGAGTGTTATTGGGTATTATAAGCTTTTTTCTATTCACAGTGGCATTACAGTATGTAAGGTAAAGTTGTAAAGTAACCTGAATCAAACACACAATCTAGACTGACGTTGGTTATCCATCATTAATCTGAAAGGATCAATTGTTGGTACAGCAGCTACTGTTACTGGTATCTCTGGCTTCGAAACAACAAATTCGATAAAGTGGCCAACACATGAAACAATATCACCAACAGATTCTTTTGCATTTACATTCACCACCAACTTATCTTTGCTTTGACCAGCTTTAACCTCAACCTAAAAAAAAAAATATTAATATTTAAATATATATTTGAATTTGAATTTTAAAGTAGGCTTTCAAAATTTTTATTAAATTTGACCAAGAATCAGTTTAAAAAAAAGTTAATTCAGTCACTAGTAGGTGGGACCATAGCCTAGGTACTATTCCTGAATGATCATGTGAGAAAGAACGGTACTTGTGTCCTAAATTTAATTTAAAAAATGGCTGATTAGAAATACTATTCGTACAAGTATTTATTCCTAACCCAGTCTGGGCCTAGTATTAAGCTGCATTCACACTAAATCCGAATTCGGTTCGTATAGCTAACGAAAGGAAAATGGAATATCTAATCAATGATAAAGAATAGAGGCGCGTACTAAGACGCGCATCGAAAACGTTCTACGATTCCCGAACCGAATTTGGAGTGAATGCAGCTTTTTAGGCCCTAAAGCCTGGTTTCCTGTCGACGTAAAATTAAGAATTTCTTACGATTCATACGATTCTTACAATCCTTACGACTGTTATGAGAAGTTGGACAAAAACAGCCGCGTCTTGGTCGTGCTGGGCCGCAGACAAAATAAGCCGGTAACGATTCTTACGACAAGTTGAATTTTTCAAGCTCGAACGACATAGCCTCTCCTAACGTCGTCACATGCATGTTACGTCAAGTTGAATTTTTCTTTGCGACTGCAATATGTTAACATTTCTTACTTCCTGTCTGGTTTCCTCATTAAAATAACCTGGCGAAATTCGAGAACAATTTTCACCGTTCGATTTAAACAATAGTCTAGTTCTAAGTTTTGTAGTACAGTATAGGGACTACAAATCTTGATTTGCTAACTTTCTCGTTATCGATTTTCGTGTTTCGTTCTCAAAATATCAATTAGGCCTATATTGTACTTTGTTTATTTCATTTCACTTATTTAATGCTATGTTTTGAACTGACAGAAAAATCTTATCTCCAGATATACAGTTAATACAGAAAACATGATTTTAATGTTAAAATTATAAGTTCGGGTTGTTAAATATAAACAGGAATTAAAATTAAGAATGAAATACACTTTAAAAAATTGTTTATTGAAATTAACAGAAAAACCTGCAATAGGCCTATATATTATATATTTTATTTATTTATATTATATGTTCTATATATTATTTTTATATTATATAAGTTTTTTTGTATAATAAATGTAATTAATTAAATCTAATTGCAATCCTTATTCTTGACCACCCACGGAAAAAAAATCTCTGGTCCATTTACTGCAGTAAATCGCAATACTCCAGTGATAATTGACGGATGTATAGGCAGTGGCGGTGCCATCGTGGGGGGGGACAGGGGGCTTAAGCCCCTATCGGTCTGGTAATGGCCCCCATTGGTCTTGTCAAGCCCTCCATCCATCGGCCAAAGCTCGTCGGGCAGTCGGACAAAAATAGGCCTAGTTTTACCATCCCAGCCATTTCAAGCCATCTAGGAGTCCCAATTTTTTTCACAAATATCTCATTTTGGGAGTAGGAGCACCCCCTCCCATAGCCAACCCCCGGTCTTCGGCCCTCAGATAACGCTGCGCGCTATAGTTACACTCATAAATACTTAGCCCCCCCCCCATAAATTATATCCTAGAGCCGCCACTGAGTATAGGGCTAACAAAATCTATAAGATTTTACATGCCTATTATTTTGTTTGAAGAAAATGGAGGATACGCTTCTTTTTAACTATTTTATTATCAATACGTAAGTCAATGAATGAGAGTTCTAGTTCGTCGACAATGTTGTTGTATAGGCAAGATATACAGACAGCATACGTTTCCGCTTACGCTTGACTCCAAGTCAACTTTTCATAAGAATCGTTTGCAAAGCAACGTATGCGAGTTCATTCAACAAAAAGTCACTAAATCGCGGTTTCCTGTCAAATAGTGTAAAATCGACGTATCACATGAAAATTCAATACGTCGGTTTCCTGTCCAAAACTGTTTTGCGACGATTTTAGTTTACGTTACGTCGATTTCACAACGCACCAGTCGCAATCGGTTTCCTGTCAAATCGCATTTTCTTACGATAAAACGACGTAATCGTAAGTAAATCTGACTTGAGTCAAGTTAGCCAACAATAAGCCAGCCAACAATAAGCCAGCCCACAATTCTAGCCAAC